GTTTAGTCGATTGATGCACTTCGTGCATTTTTAGCACAGATACCATTCTTCTTATTCAAGTTTGTTTTCTTATCATACCTAATTTTTGTCCATCCTAGAGAAATATGAAACTCATAGATAATTTACTTGGTTTGTTAAATGATACGAGTTAGTCACATTCATCTCACAACATTCTAAATTTTTCACATGAGTTTAGTGATATGTGACTATTTACTTATTGTTAGCTGATTTCACCTGCAGTCCAGTGAGATGCTGTTCTCACGAGAATTCAAAGCTAGCGCACATCGTTTCAAGCAACATAATGACATACATTAGGCTACTGAGTTATGAAGGCCGCTTCTTTTGCAAAGAATATCAGCTGTCACTTATTGACATGCATAATTGTCCCTTGCCTATTTTACTGAACAGAAAATAAACCCACTCGTTCGAAGAGTTCATATGTCACCTTGGAACCGACCACTTCGGTTCCGTAAAATAAACAACGGGAAGCCACAAGTATCAATAAGTATTTTGTGAACATCGGAAAAAAATTTAGTCTCATGGAATCAATCAGTTCAGCATTGGTAAAGATAGCTTGTAAAGAGAAAAGCCCAGTACATTAGAAACGTGAATTTCTGAGGTTACCGTAAAAAGTGGTCAACAGGTCTTGAATAAGTAATTTTACTAACTGCTCCCTGTTTATTAGTTCATTTAGGATTGTGTATCAGATCTAAGTTAAGTTGACTGAACAGCAACGAAGTTGGTAGTTGATGCTTAAATACTGCATATCTGGAGTAAATTCTGGGGTGACGTTGGTTCCGGTCAACTAGAATATGAAGAATGATTAGTCGGTGTATTTTATGCCGAAATAAAGAAATAAATCAAAAACTTTAGCATAAAACCAGCCAATCACATGTCAAGGGAATTTTATCAGCAGAATCAAAGATTGATGTTGAACGGCCTTTCCTGTAGACGAGACCTGGACATGGTTTGTCCGTTCTAGAGAATAGTTTCCTGAAGTCAGCATCAAATAGACTGTTGGGAATTTCGGCCCCTCTTTAGCCTGGAACTGGCTTTCTTGTTTACGTTGTTTTAACCCCTACAGCTAAATTATGTGTGAAGTGTGAACAAACTTATCTCTTTTTTCTTCTTCGTAATAAACTTAATTAGGTGTATTATGTAATTAGTCTGTTTTATGTGTTAAAAAAAGTATTGACATTCTAAGCCACTTGGGTTGTCGGTGTTCTGCTAATTTTTTTGCTGTTGGAGCTAGGATCTTCCGAAGTAAATCTTAAGATGTCAGTTTAGACATCACGGATGCTTCCATGAGCAACAAAACTGCATGAACATTCTCAGTCACGGTATAATTTTGCATGATATTAACGGAGACCTCTTAATCACCAATTAGTCGGAATTAATTTCAGTTTTTTCATATTATTGTGATTGCCATTTTCATACTTACTTTGGGATACAAAGTTGTGGCATGAGCTACTCAGACGATATTTCCAATTACTCTGCAATTGTTGGTAATAAAACATGCCATTCAACCTACTATCCCTATAACTTAGTTGATGAAGTTATACGCATTTGTTCAACAAATTTTCATTGAAATGCTTATAGTATTCAGCGGTACTGATGGAAAATTGATGGATTTTGTTCTATCCGCTGTGTGTGATATGTGAATTTTGCTACATTAACACAAGATATCTAGCAGTGGATGTAAATGACTTCTGGTTTACAGGAAGTTAATAGTTCTGTTGCCATTGAAACCTGACTTCATGTACCTAAGCGTTACTTCATCAATGCACATTTAATATACAGTATAGTGTCACAAAGAGATGACTATGATGAAATCTTAGTGAGTATTTATTGATTTGATTGTAATGAACTAATTTTCGATACCAGGTTAGTATTCATCATGGACTGATATTGGTTAAAGAAACACTGGAAGCCTGGGAACACTGGACATCTGTTTCCTTTTTGTACAGGGCTCCTCCTCCTCATGATCCCGCCCTGCAGGACCTTCAAGCTCCGTGGCCGGCTTGTTACCATTGAGCCATTGGGTCGGAATCCAATGGTTCATATTTCTTAGAACAAAACAGCTATGTAGTACCCCCAGATTTCGAATGTTTCTCCAACTGATGTTCATCCATGACGAATACCAACCTGAAATTACTAAATAAATCCCATAAACCTCAAAAAAGACTCAGTTTTATCAGATAACCATTGCAGTAGACCTTAGCAAGTTCAATTTCCTATAACTGATGTCCACACTGAAAAAACGTAGATAGGAGTGACTTATGCATAAACGGAGATCAACTTTTGCATGTCAAGAGCTACTGTCTAGACAATCTATTTTTATATTGGTCAGGTTGAACCTTGTATCCAAATATGATAGCAGAAATATCGACAATAAACCTTGGGGTCCTCGCAAATAATATTTAAGTATGCGTTCTGCTCAAGGGGAACTAATTCATCACTACTCAATAATGCCATATGGTTTTATTTGTTTGGTAAGTATCCAATGTGTTAATTTTCTTTTTCCTTTCATCCTTTTTTGTATAGGTTTATAATGAAATTAATCAGCGTGGATCATTCGACATGAATTATTTGTGTTTTCTACTGTGTGCAGCAATTGTAGCAAATATAGCTCTGGTAACCAATTCTGCTGGTGTTGTATTCGCCAGTATGTTGTTATCACCTTTAATGGTAAGTTGGCTAGGCTGTGGTGTATATTAAGTAAATGGTGAATGTGATTAGTCATTCATTCTTTGGATTATTTCACACCTTGATAAACTTTAAGTGAGATCAAGCCATAATAACACGTCACGAACTCAAATAAAAGTCAGACAGAACCCTTGATGATTGAAGTGAAATAAAAATCTGGTTAGCCTAGGGTCTCGTAACTCATTTGATAGAGCACTTGGCTGTAAGCCCATAGGTCTCTGGCTCGAATCCTGCCATGGCCCGAAATCTACCATACCATAACTATCGTAGATAGTCAAACTGATAAACCTTAAAACACTATGAATTATTTCTGCAAATTGTCTGAAATGTATTTTTATTTTGAATTTATCTAAGGAAATTATTTTTCTTCAGATTGAACTATTATTTCATTCACCAGCAGAAACTGCCTTAAAAAATCACTTCTGCCTACAAAAACAAAAAATGTGAAGTGTCAGATTCACATATTTTTAGTAAAGCTAAACTAGTGAATATCCAACCCCTATTTTCTAATTACTGAAACCTACTCCACTTGGAGAGCGAAGTGTGTTGGTATTTGTTGAAAGCAAGATATGGCTTAGTTACGAAAGATTTAGCTAACTAACCTCAATACCTTCAAGGTTCAATAGGATTCTGGTGAATTATACACTTTTCTTTGTCTTAGAGTAATTATCTGCAGGCTGGAAACTTGTGTATTGTGTCGGCTAACAGTCACTGATGGTATGTTTTTAAGGAGACTGTTTTTCTTTCCAAGGCATAATTTGAAACGATTAACAGCCTTAACAAGTGATATTAACTTTGAGAAAAGAGGATTGTAGCTAATAATTTCAGAGTTTAAAGTTGGTATAATTCACCTTATGCTGACTCATCTCAGTGTATAGTGAACATGGGCTGAAAACTCTTCTTTGAGGTCCATGCGGTCAAGAAGTAATTTATTTCAAACCAGGAAACCTATGTAAGACATATTGAACGCTATTCCTTAACTAGTAGCATTGTTAGTTAGGCTAGGTCATATTATTCAGTAGGCTTATAAAACTAAAACAAGTCCAATTTCATTTTTACTTTTGTTCATGAAGAAGACTTTCTTGATTCTCTCTTTGCTAACGAAGCATGGGAATCGACCAAATTCGGGTATATTTTTTTTTACTAGAAATACCTTCAACTAAGAGGTGTACCTTAGGAGTTCCTTATTTTCATTTGGGTTCAACTAAATTTAAGTGGCTGAAAACCTTAAGCGCAGCCAATCAGGTTGGAGATGATATATTTAAGCTATTCATTACGTCCACTTACTGTGTTGTTGAGGCCAGCTAAACTTTTGATGAATTATGATAAAATTGCGTTGCAGAGTGCATGTGAGATTGGTTGCAGAAGGTAAAGTGGTTGGTCAGAAACTTGAATATAACCTAGGAGGATGACTTGAACAGGACTGGGTAAGTTATAACATGCTCCCAATGTATCCATACATACATCTGTCTTGACAAACCACAGATTCTTGGTTTATATGACCGAAATACTAAGAAAGGACATTTTCAGTGGATAAAGAATAGATCGAAAACACGTGGCATTGGGTGTTACAATATACACAGAAGCTTGAAAGTCATATATGCTTTTATCTTATTGTTCACAAAAGGCGCTCCGTTGATCAAAAAACCAAAGTGCGCCTAGACAACTGTGAAAATATATGGGGTGGTCTTAGAAAGTTATTAAGATCTTTAACGAGATCACGACTCAAAAATTTCCAAATATCATTTAAATGATATTGTCTAATATGGATTGGTGGTAGTTCAGCCAAAGGTATGGTTTCAAAGATGATAAACCTATTTAAAATCTTGACATCCTTATTTCCCATGTAAAACAGATTAAGAAATTGTAAATAAAGTATCATTTCCCTAATATCTACTTTGTCCTTCATATTCTTGACTCTGATTAGTCGGCGCGTATCTGGACGTGATTCGTCGTCACTAAACTTTAGTTGAACCTCCATTACCGTTGTCAATAAACACTATTTATTCCGAACTATTTCTTCTACCGATTTTGGTTCAAAAGATATTGTGAATTGGATTTATGGAGGCAATTTAATCATTCACTTACAGTATAAACTGAAATAAGCAAATGACCATGCCGATTACCAGTTGACTAGTGTAAAGGTCTTTGCTACGAAATATTAGAACGGCCGACACCATGTCCGACATTTTCAGTAAGACATCTTGTTGTCCAACCAATGATATTAATATCATTCCATGGAGAGTAGATAATTTAACGATAAAAGAGAATACAAGAAGACTTACTTAAAACAATACTACAACACTCATGCTACTACTCTTCAAAAGCTGAAAAAATTTCCTGTTATCTTGAGTTGTTTAGTGGTTTCTTCACATATTCCACTCAGATGTACTTTTCAATTTTTCTTAAATAACATTTTAAAAGCATATCGGTAGATTTAGAAAACCCTAGTTTCTAGTCTCTTAATTCGCAACAGTTACAGCATCTGCTACTTGCCTTGTCACAATGAAAAGTTTTAACCACGTGACTGGTACAGATCATTCTATTCAACCACCGGAAACTGGGCAGTCACTGTCATCTGCAAGATAAGGCTGACGAATACCAGTCACTGAAATCTTATGTAGGGGTTATAAAGTCTACTATGTTTGCTAAAAACCGAAGCCATTTGGGTTATATGTTGAATATTTTACAGATGTGAACAGTTGAAGAACAGCAGGATAAGATAAACCTATCTTTCTGTCACGCAACGGTTCATTGTGGTTAATCTGCTAATATCGTTGGTTATTGAAACTCCCTACTAGTTTACTGGTCGTATACTATATCATGATAACTTACTTGGTTGTGGCTAGTAGAGGAGTCCAGGAAGCACGTTTCGTCCTATTTGACACTCGTCAGTTCGACAAACGTGCACCTCAGTGAGTGATGTTGTCCCTACTAAGACTCAAACCTCATAACTATCACTTTAAACACCAAACCGTTTTAAACTGGGCCACTGAAGCGCACTAGCCACCTTTTGTTTCAGTGGAATGAGATCATTCACTGCAGTCCAGTTACACCCAGTTGATAAGTCCCAAATAAGACAAAATGCGTGTCCTGGCTACAACCAAATAAATCATCATTGTAAATATTCAGGCAATATCGATGCATCCTCACAGGATCCCACATACCAGGGGAGGTTGATCAGTTTGACGCAGTATAACAACGGAGTATTACAGGTACATCAACAAATAGTTACATAGGATATCGTTATCTACGATTGCTTAGCACTTGTTGAGATTTTTTCTATCTTGCTACTTCAAAGTCTGCTGTAACTTGGACAGTGTGTGTTGTGAAGGCTAAATTTGGATTGTTAGTGACACTTCATATTTATTATCAAAACTAAAGTGATTCTATTCATATGTTTATGGACCCAGGTTCTAATGAGAAAAGTTGCCGATCAGCTTGATCCAGCTCACTGGCTTAGGAATATCTTAGTTATCGTTTTCCCAATTAGACAGATTCAGAAGGTTTCAGTGAGAACTACAAAACAAATACAACTTACTTAATTATGATAGAATCTTCACATATTAAGGTATATTCATAAATGGAGTATTTGATGGCAACTAATTTGTGAACAATATAACTTTGAATCCGACATAGGGTCGCGAACTAGGAGGTTGCTTATAACTTTCATCAACATGTGATTGTGGTGGCTACCACCAGGCAATCTGTGTTAACCGTATGACACGCCAAGTTTATAGTATGAACGTTTTTGTTTTATAGACGATAAACAGATAACTGGTTACTGAAAAATGTTTTGTACCACTGGACGAGGGTATTCAGAAAGCCATGGGACACTGAACAGTTTCCAGGTTAACGTTTTGGCTCTACAGAGGTAAGCACAACCATCAAACATCCAGTGATTTTGCAAGTAGTGTTGTTAAATAAAAGAAATTATCTGAAAACTAATCAGGTTTATAAAATCTCAAAAAATGACTAGATGGTAAATTTTATCAAATTTTTCAATCTTTCATCTATAGCCAAACATGAGTCAGTAGGTCAAAGACCATTTTTACGTGTTTTACTCAGTAAAGTTGATGCATTAAAAATTGACCGAAACACGGTCTAACATGTTTAAACGTACATGTGGAATTTAGTGATCACCTTTCTTTAAAATTTCATGCAAAATATATATGTCAACCGGTTGCTATTGTCATCAGGATTACTTCGGTCATAAAACCTGCTATCTCTTGCTGAAACACTCCCTTGATGAATACTTGAGATCATATAACCTAAGTACATGACTTTCCTTTGACTACTTTAAACATTCCGGTACATTTTTGGCAGCTTACTGATGCCTTGTAGATTAAGTTACAAAACCGTACTGTAACTGACATGCTCGAACCATTTTTGAGTTTTTGTAAGCTTTCACAACCATCTGTACAGACAATATCAATTGAGTTATATTCCACTTTTTTGAATAAGCTTATTTTCTTTCAAAAAACGGAAGGAATTATAAGCTGAATTAGATATTCTACCACTTCTAGTGACGGATATCATAGCGAATTAAAGAAAAATACCAATCAACTGCCTCTTCCATTCCTGATGAAACTTTAAATGGCAACTAATTATCTTACTGAATATAGACGCTACTTTAACGTGGTGACTTTAAAGACCACCTTGGCAACTGCTATGATACCTAAATAAGCTTATATTTTAGAGAAAGCTTCCTTTCTAGCCGGAATATCGGAACCTAATTGGTTACTACAACGGCTGCTAGGATGGCCTTTAAAGTCGCCACGTCAATTTATGTTGCTATTTCAATATCCCACACAAAGTTACTGTCCCTGATTGTATGTCAAGTGGACATGTAAGCACTATATCTGTTTTATATAAACAGACTGAATGAAAATCTATTAAACAGTCTTAGAAAAAGAAAGTTTTTATATACTTTATAAACAACTTGAAATAATGAAAACTAGATTAAAGTAAACGTCAATATA